ACTATACCGCTTCTGTCATTGGCATCCTCATCAACGTCCATTGCATCAGGGTCGGCTGTCTGAACAATGTCATCGATAGGCAGCTGGTCAAGCGATTTAGAGTTTTCCGTGAGAGGTATGTTGATATCCTCGAGTTTGCAGCGCCTTAGGACAGTATATCGGCCGGACGAGTTACGTTGGATTTCGGCCTCCAAGGCGCTAACATTCTTTAGGATGCCTTCAACGTCCTTGCTGCGTTTCTGAAGTTCCCGGCGCTGCCGTGCGAGGTTCTCCGCTGATTGCGCATAAGCCTCCTTTTGCTCCTGCAGTCGCTCCCTAAGGACATCCAGCTCAGCATTGTATTCATCCAGCTGATTCCGGATTTGCTCTTGTTCGGCTTTGAGTTCCTCGATTAGACTCTCATCCCGTTCATGCTGTGCCTGAAGGCTGGCAATCCTATCATTCGTCGCCTGAAGTCGTTGCCTCTCGAAGCTGAGTTGATTCTCAATCCTGCTTTTCTGCGTCGTAAACTCGAGTTTCTTCTGAGCGGCCTCCTCTTGCAAAGACCCTTGTTGGACCTCGTATTCACGAATGTTAGCGTAACCAAGGCGCTTGCAGAATTTGCGGTAGATTTCGTCCTCAATGCTGCTGACAGCCTCTTGCGACTGGGCGATGGTCTGGTCGAGTTCCTCAAGAGCTTCCTGGCGCTCCATGTATTTTGGTCTCAAGTCTTCGAGCTGGCGCTTCACAAAATCTAATTCCGTGCGCTTGCTCTTGAGGTTTCTTTCGAGAGCCTTGAGCTCCTCTTGCGCGTAGGCTAGGCGCTGCTCCAAACCCACCAATTCACCTTGCAAAGTCTCTTCTTCAGTGCCTCTGCGATGGCCCTTTGGCAGATTGGCGAGGTCGGCCATCAGTTTGTCCTTGAGTTTGTGAAGATTCTCAACCTCGGAATCCTCCCATCGCTTTGAGTTCTGTTGGGGGCCTCTACCACCAGTCATCAACCCCCCCTTGTGGATCACAGTTCCATCGAGTGTGACGGCTTTTGCGTCTACGTTCCTCTCATAGCAAAGGTACTTGGCTGTCGCCAAATCATCACAGACAATGGCGTTTCCACAAGCATAGCTGATGGCCCTTGCAACGGAGTCGTCGTAGTCTACCGTTTCAATAGCTGGTCGCATTCCTCGGTGAATGCCTTTCAGATTTGAGTTGAAGGCTTTGACTTGGATGGTCTCCAGAGGGATAAAGGTTGCCTGGCCCGCTCTCTGATCTCGGAGGTGCTGGATGCACTCCTTGGCAGTCTTCTCATTATCGACGACGATGGCGTCGAAGTGACGACCCAGGACCGTGCTGACGGCTTCGGCATACTTCTTCTGCTTAGGTCTGCAAAGATCACTGACACGGCCCTTCACACCAGGAAAGATGCGCTTCAAAGTCGAGATCAGCTCCTTAGCTCTTAGTTCCCTCTCTGTTTGCTTCTTGCCATCGTCAGCCTCAAGAAGCTTTTTCAAGACGACCTGGACTTTCTCCTCAAGCTCTGTCCTCATCTGAGAGATGCGCAAGCGCTCCGAGGTAAGCGCATTCAATTCCTTCTTCTTGCGGTCAATCTCCTTAGAAGTGGTCTTGACCGTGTCGTTCAAAGCTGACTTGCGCTCCGTCAAGGTCTGCGTATCAGTTTCTAAGCTCTTGAGCTGCCACTCAGTTGAGTCAAACTTGCTCTTCAAACTGTTGTAGGCCTCGGCTTCCGTCTTTCTCTGACGCCTTAGATTGTCGAGATTGAGTTGCTCCGCAGACGATCGCTTGCTGACTTCCTCTTTGAGCATTTTGTACTCCTGCTGGTCAGATTCGCTCAGTCGACCGCCCTGTTTGCTCATTGTCTTATGCCATTCGGCCTCCCATTGAGCCTGGGCTTTCTCGACGACTTTGAGGTCCTTCTCCAATTGTTTCACATTGGCCGCCTGAGAATCCCGTTCCTTGCCAATTTCGGCAATCCGAGAGGCAAACCTCTCTACCTTCTTCCTGGTGATATCAACCTTCTCGTCCACAGGGACCAAGGCGTTGGTCGCCTCTTCGATATCTTTCTCCTTCTTGATAATATTCCTCTCTGCCTTGGCCACATCTCTGCCAACCTTCGCATGTTCTACCTTGGCGTTCTCAACATTTCTCTCGTATTTCTCCACTCCACGACGATATTCCTTGAGTTCCTCTTGGTACTTCTGAATATCCGCGCTGGACGCGTCAATCAAACGCTGGAAATGGAAAAGCTTCCAGAGAATGTGAGTGATCTCGGCCTGATCACGTTCCTCTGCCTTCCTAGCATAGTTTTCGGCCTCACGCTTTTGCTCCTGGTATTGCTTAATTTCAGAATTGATACCTCTCCGTCGGTTGAGCTGGATAGTCTGCTGCTCCGCAGCCTCCTCAGCTTCCGCCTTAAGACGTTCGTATTCAGCTTTGTATTCAAGACTTCCGGAAATCTGCTCAATCAACCGTGTCAAGTCCTTGGGGGACTGCGAAGCAATCGCCTCAACGTCACCCTGGAAGACGAGGAAATTGCGCGCTTTGATCAGAATATTTTCCGCCTCGAGAGCCTCGTTGTATTGTTGCGCAGTCACGATGCGATTATTGATTCGGTATTCGCTAACGCCGGAGCTTGTGATCGACCGTCGCCATTGCTGCTCCTCGCCCGCATCATCCTCGTACACGGCCATGACCCATGCGGATTTTGGATCATTCGATCCACTAGGATCCTGCGATTCCTCCCCGTCCACGCCGTTTTCGTTTGGCTCTTCTCCGTTCGGTACCGCATCAGTAGCGTTGCCATCGGCGTCGACTTTGGATGTGCGCAGGACACGGCCACGGTAGACGAGATCGCGTAGGTTCGTAGACCGCAGATGTGAGGATTTTATTCCCAAGACGAAAGAAATTGCATCCATCCTAAATCTCGTCAGCGCGGAAATGGACACTGCGACGGACGGTTATATGATACGCACGAGTTGGACTTGCCAGACCCATTAGGTCCGATAATGGATGTGAAGTAGGCATCCCCAAACAGCAAAACATGATGTCCCTTGTAGGATTTGAAATCTAAGGAATGGTTAGCACTACTCGCCGACGAGTGATTGGTTAGCCCGTACTGAAAAGCTCAAGGCGAATAAGTTTCCCCATCTTGCGATAAGGCAGCCGCTGTCTCGCGACTGCAGAAGCAAAATTGAAGTCACAAAACGGGAATGAAGACGCCCGCGCCGATTCACTCAGCAATATAGCTGCAGCGATGGAGCAGCGACTGACAGCAGTGTTTGGATGACCCCGCGCGATAGTTGGCTATCATGGAGTCGCGTCTCGGAGCCCAAGGACGCGCTGCCGCTGCACGGGCGGCAGATCACGTGCTGTATGCCTCCCGTCTCAACCACTACGAAATGAAAGCTTCACCTCTTTGTTTATTATCATTTAACTTCTCATTCGAATTCTAATTTACATCTATATACAAAGGATCTTCGGCGCAAACATTCCTGATGGCAGAATGCCAAGAAAGCACCTCGACGCGCTATTCAAGGCTTGAAAGCAGAAGCGAAAAGTTATGTAGTTAAACATTTGAGAAGGGAGACAACCCTGAGAACGCCTTTCCTCGTCACGCGGAAATACTCTAATAGCTTCTGATGCTCACCGGGTTCCCAATCACCAGAAAATCCTCGGAGATGTACCCGGCTGAATCCATTCGGAAAACACCTTTTTGACCCTCGACTTCCAAGAGGATGATATCCTCCTGTGTAAAGAGCTGTCGGACAGATCGGAAACCCTTCCAGAAGACCTGGCTCATCTTTGTCAAAGGCGCTCTGTAGATGCTCACCTTAGCTGGTTGAGCATTTGGAGTCGTCTGTGGGTTGAGCGATTCAGGGGAGACGACCAGACGCCGAGAAAAGGCTATCTGGCGAGGTAGGGCATCAAACTGGTACGGCTTTCGGAAAGGAATCATGCTTCGAACGGTGAAGCGAAGGTATGTCTTGCCATTCAAATGAATGGCATTAACGGCCTTGATCAACCGCGCAGTTTTGACAATGAAGACTGTTCCCATAACACTCATCATGACACAAATGCCACCAAATAGACTCTTTTGCCACATCGGCAGAGCTACAACTGGGTCTCCGAACACGATGGTCGAGTTGTAGACCGAGTAGGCCAAACAGAATGCTGCGATACCGTAAGCACCCAACACATAGAAGCGATGTGATGGTGCCTTAAAAAGTAATAAGTCGCCCTCTTTCGCAACCTTCCTTTCTAGTTTACCGAATCCCTCGGGTCGTCTCCCCGCAAACTTGAGCGTTTCTTGCGAGGGTTTTGAAGGATTACGGGGCGCCGTGGGCTTGACAACAGCTTTTGCCCGAGGAGCACAAGAAGAGAAATATCTCCATGTCGGTGACGACTGGGGACCTAGTAATAACGGTGTCCTAGGACATTGTTGTGCGAATGCCCGAAAGGCAAATGACCTGGGAATCATTGTAGTGCCTATAATCTGAAAAGCAATCACATCACGTTAGCGGAGAGCTCCTGTAACGAGAACCAAGCAATTAGAAAGATGCTATTAGCACGGCAATGAGAGCATCTTCGAAAAAGGCGATCGACAGAGATTGGACGACTAACCTTGAAAATAAGTTCAAACTTCCGTTGCTCTCTCCGTCGTCAATTTCCGCTCGCATCGCAATACTCCGGTCGTTCTCCGCGGCAGAAAAATGTTCCCGTCCGGGCCGCCGGTGAGCTCCCAACAACCTCAACATCTAGAGCAAGTACAAACAGAGCTTATCGCGGTTGATCCTGTCTTCATGGATCTCTACGTCTAACATTGAAACGCGGTCTACTATTTGCAGCAGCTAGATCCATCAGGGATTCTGTGCGGCTTAATCGACGGGGTACAACCTCTCGTTCGTCTCAAGCCTTCCGAATCCAGCTTCAGCGCCAAGCGCTCTCGGAGATACACTTCGATCAGAAAAGGCACCTTTGAGCCATATCAAGACGCTAGATCGAGCGATATGGCTTCTAGCTTTCCCGTGCGCCGTGTGTCGGCCATGATTGCCAGACGGCAACCCCGGGTAATCAGCACCACCAGACGTAAGTGACCCAACGACCTCAACACGCAATTCAATCGGGTGCGATCTGGAAACAAACCAATACTCGATGATACCCCAAGTATACGTGTAGCATGCAATCTACAGACGCTAACTGCGGAATCGATAGGCCTCAATTCTTCCTCCTCAGTCCAGACGCAAAACCCCGCTTATCCCCTCTATCCCTCCGTCCAAGTGCTCCTCCATGAAAAGGGCATCCCAGAATCCGAAATCTCCAAGATTCCCGCCTCCGGTCCGAAGGGCCGTCTCCTCAAGGGCGATGTCCTCGCCTATATTGGCGCCATTCCCACCGACTACCCATCCAGCCAAGCCTCCCGCATCGAAAAGCTCTCCCACCTCGACCTAAGCAACATTAAGATCGCAGCTCCCCCGCAACCCGCCGAGACCAAGGCCCCAGTTGTCGAGGAACCCAGCGCTAGACCCCCACCCACAGTCTCAGTAGCCGTCTCCATCTCCCTTGCTACTGTGCTCTCCGTCCAGAAGAAGATCAAGGATTCGATCGGCGTCACCGTGCCGCTATCCACTTTCCTTGCTCGTGCCACCGACCTGGCGAACGACGACCTCCCCCGTTCCTCCCGCACCAAGCCCTCCGCAGACGAGCTCTTTGATGAGATCCTCGGCGCTGAGCCCGTCAAGACATCCCGGGGCGATTATATTCCCGAGCTGAATGCCCTGGAGGCAGCTGAATATCAGCCCCCTCAGCCCGACAAGGAAGACATCATCGATATCCTCAGCGGCAAGGCTCCGAAGAAGGCGCCGCATAAGGCATTCATGGAGGAATACCCCGCCGGCTCTGCCGCGAATGTGTTTAGTTTGACCGTTCCTGTTGGTGATGAGACGAGGGCTAGGGTTTTCTTGGACCGGGTGAAGACCCTGTTGACAGTTGAGCCTGGAAGGCTTGTCCTATAGACCTCTAATTCATATACCTGTTGAAAGTAAGTAGTCAAAAATAACCAGCGGTTTTGTACAACATGGCTAATTGTCTTTCAATGTAGCACTAATGAGATAAATATACAAGTCCCATGTACCGTAGCGTTAGCATTTCTACTTTAGCAAAGACAATCATTCATCAGCATCTTAGAATGTCTTTAACGTAGGCTTTGACACTGCATTAGTTACCTAGTTGTTCATGATATCACAAAAGCTTCTCTCCTCCTCCAGGGCCGTATGCAACCCATCTATCTACCAAGAGCAAGAAAGCACAGTCAAGGAGCTTCAAGTGTCGTGCAATTTTATGTATCATGTCATCATCAATTTCAGCAGAGATAAAGATACGGCTATCACCATGCAAGTATGAGCGAAAAGAGTTCATTCTTGGGCCGTTGAAGCCCATCCGTCCCATGAGCAACACCAGTCCCTCCCACCTGTGTGAACACCATGAGCGCCACCGCTTATACCATTTCAGAAAGAGTCAAGAATATTTGCTCGAGGCCAGATGCATAACAAGCATCGCCTGAGACGAGAAGCAGAGCGTGGAAAGAAAAGAAGTGCAGAAGAGCAAAGTCGACGAAGGTACATGCCAGGAAGATATGATGAGATGGGAAGAAAAGAGAAGCACCTGGTCCCCCACGTTGAAAATGTTGTAGACCCACGAACAAATGCGAAAAGATGCCAAAGAAGCGAAAACTCCTCCCTTAAACAGACCAAAAGTACCCCCAGGATTGCTGCAACGCCAATGTCCTGGAACGCCGTGTCTAATGCATATGTGAAAACCATGCCGGGAAGTGAAAGATGCTGCAGGGTCATGATAACCTCGAGTTCTAACGCCGGTATTATCGAATCGTACCCCATTCGGCTAGTTTGCCGCCCTCCCGTCCATGTTCTCTTCCTGATCTCTTATTGAAAATCTTCCAGAATCTCAATGTTTCGTCACCAGCTCCGGTTACGACCGTCTGTCCATCGGGGCTCATCGCAAGGTAGAGTACACGGAAAGTGTGGCCGGTAAGCGATACAATCTGCTCCATGCGCGGGTATTTCCAGATTACAATCTGGTTCTGACTGTAGCCGTGTGTACTGATGATTTCGTCTGAGTTCTTCGACCATGCCAGGTTACAGACCTGGCTACCCGTATCAACTTCCTTGATCATTGAACCAGTAGCCGTATTCCAAAATTTGATGGTCCGGTCCGCCGTGCCTCCACCTGAGGCGAGGAGGTGGTGTTGATGGGGTGACCAGGCGATGGCCTTTACGGCCGCGGTATGGTCCGAGAAGCGATAGAGCGGCGTCTCATTCAGCTTGTCCCACACCATAAGTTTATTGTCGTTTCCGCCTGAAGCTAGTTGTCCATCTTCGGTGTTCCATCGGAGACCGCAAACTTCTTGCTTATGGCCGGACAGTCGACGTAAATACTGATCTGGGGAGCGAACATCACGGTGAAAGATCAGTCGGTCCCGAGAACCTGACGTAAGGATATGATCGTTCCACGCAAGAGCCCCCACACGATTGGTATGTCCAATCATTGTCCGAAGACGGCGACAGTGCTCTGCATCCCATATCTGTACAAAACCTTTTCCAGTTCCTATCGAAAGATGTGTGCCCTGTCCAATGTCAGTTCTGGAACACGTAATCTTTGCCAACGTATGGAGAGATTTTCATTACCCGCTGAATCCAGCTGACACTTGTGACAGTATCATCTCTTAGCTCGCAGAGTTTCGTCACCCGGCCGGTGTTCGAATTCCACATGTACACTGAATTGCCTAAGCCAACGCCTAGCACATTACTACTGCCCCAGTCCACCAGATTCAAGTAGAAGTCATCTTGCAAGTCGGGTGCGTCGAGAACCTTGTAGGGTACTTTGTTGACGTAACGAGGTTGCTTGCGAGGAGTTTCAAGGATACGTTGACTGTCGTATCTGATCGGCGATAGACTGTAAAGTTCGGATCGCACGTTTAAGTTGGGACCGTGTTGACTTCGAGGCGTCTTGGACGGTGTCGGTTGACCAGATCCAATTCTCGGGGAAGCGTAAGTGAAGAGGTTTTTGTGAGGCGTCGATGGCGTGATACTGGCGGGCGGTAGATTCGAGATGGCGTGTGAAGGAGGTGTGTGGGAGCGTGTCTTCTCATTAATACCGTTGGGAATTCCCAGTAATGGGTCAGGAGACAGTGAATCCAGATCGGCCTGCGGGACGGTGTTTCCAAAAAGCTCACTTCTGAGTACGCGCGAGTACATTCTATTTGCTTCTTCCGCTACAAGCGATGTCAGCTCCAGCTAAGTCGATCAAGGTCCCGTGGTAAACATACTTTTTTGGAAGTGAAGCTCCGAGTGAGGGGCGCGCTTTTTCGTTTTGGAAGGAGTAGAGGGACACCCATCTTCATGAAGCAAGCTATAAGTTGCTTGTAGATCTTGCCCCTCGCGATTTGGTATAAACCTGCGGGCGCCTTCGGTCAATCATCGCCCATCAAAGAGACAATACAATGTACAATGATGCTCACCTATCGCCGTACACTCGTTGCCTTTTCCTACTGGGACTTGTTCCAGGGGTTCTTTCCCGAGGACGTCCTGCATCTTCGTACTCCTTCAGAGCCTTCGCAAGCAAGTTGGGATCAACGGGTTCGGAACTGCTGTGGCTTTTCTGTTTTCTTGCCGATGTAGCCGGATAGAAAATCGTCTTCTTTGATGGCATGCTGGGAGGCGTCCTTGATCCGGGAGGGGATGCGATATTTAAGGCATTGGGGACTCTCTCCGACGATCTCATAGTGGATTTGACCGCCATTGCGCCAGCAGCGGCCAGAGAATCCGGATCTTTGTTCTTGTCGCCCATACTCATAAACGTAATTTCTATTCAGGGCGCAAGCGCTCGAGGTTGGTATCGACTGTAGGAGAGACCAGCGAGGTGATGCGACAGGTCCAGATGTCCGGTGACGATGTGGAGAGATATATAGAAACAGTATGGTGGTGCGCTTTCAAACCGATAAGCGACGGTCCGTCTTGCTAATTGAATGGCAGGTTATTCTAAGAGCTGGTGGTTCGTAGAATAAATAAGGTTGTTGGTAGCAACGGCCAAGTCCTTCTGCTCCGCTCCGAACAATAAATAACTGAAGGTAGGCGACTTGAGGAGCGACAAATGGGGGCCAAGGTATTGTTCACTTCTCTCACCAGACCCAAGGCTGATTTGACGGAATCTGGTAGCTTGTGGAGGTCATTTGAAAGTGACCTGACCACCGTCTGGTGAGCTATGAGAGACTGGTAAGTAGCGAAAGCAATCCAAGGGCGGGCTACGGGCTCTCTCTCTTTTGGGGGGTGACGGAGTTTCGAAGGGGATTCCATCCCTCCCAGTCACGCGTCAGGAGCACTAAGCCTATCCGGGACACAGGAGGTTGGCTGATGGATCAACGTGTTGGGATTATCTTTGTTAATACTGCCATTTATCCTAAGCCTGAGGATTTGTCACAGAATAAGAACTACTGTAGGAACTATGTCAATGACTCGTTTAAGTCTGACTGGGTTGGGATGCAGTTTACTGTTGTCGTTGTGTTGGCTAACCATGTGGTTAGCACAGATCACTCAGTTGTATACATCCGGCGCCCACAGTAACACTGGTTACAATAATGGAGTCCCGTACCAAATATGGGAATTATTGCATCTGATGACTGAAATCAATATATCTGCTTACATTGGTGTCTTCTGAAAACAATAACAAAACCCCTTCATTAACGCGAAGCGCCAGTATACCTAACCAGAAGAGCGCGCTCAGCCTGTCATTGATTGTTGTGCCCTATCAATCAGGCGCACTAACTGTCCTATCGGTTTCGCGACCGCCTGTCGTTCCACGCGCCCTCGACGCGACGGAGAGCTTGGGCCAGAGTATGGGGAAGGAGAGAGTTTACTTTCCACCTCTGCAGCCAAAGAAACTCTTTCTTTGGTCATGAACCTTTGTCGATCCTACCACCAGCTGAGCAGTTGTCTACGGCAGAAATTCCCCGTGTCAATCGACTGATCTGATGATGAAATCATACCTTATCTCTTCCGGATTTCTTCATCTGTCTACCCCTCTACACCACCGTGACACTTCGGTCTCAGACCCTTCAACCTCAACATGGCTACTTCATACTGCACTACAATATGAAAGTATATATAGTTACTAGATTTGCATCTGACTTTCTGGACAATTGCCTCCACTACTTTTTACCCTCCTTTATCTGATTGAGATGAGATGAATCATCTCCGCTTTTGTTCATAGTCGAATCTGTGCTTCACAGTGAAGATCAACAAAGTAACCACGTGAGTGGGATATATTTGTACGACAAACAAATGAAGCTTCTAAAAATACAGTCATCAGATTTTGTCATATTTTCAGTTTAGTAATTAGTACACAGACTAAGTTGCCAATTACTACCTTATCATGTTCTTTATAGCTGCCAGATCTTCACTTCTATAAGACTACCGAACATGGTTAGTCTCACACTGACCGCCAAGATTGTTGGAGAATACCTATCTATAATCTGATCTCATGCCAACAAATAGATCATCCTTCCTCTCCACTTACTCCAGACTTCACCATAAGCTACCCGATAGCCAGCAAGGTACTCCTTCAAGATGACCTCTAAGCTTGCGCAAAATTTGAAGCAACCCGCCTTGGACTTTTTGTCCTTTGTCAATGCCTCTCCAACTCGTAAATATACCTTCCTTATGGTTGAACTCCGATTCTTATCCACAGACTGGAACTGACAGCAGCGCGAATTCTTAGCCTTTCATGCTGTTCAGTCTGCAAAAGAGCTCCTCATCAAAGCAGGATTCCAGGAAATCAAGGTACGGATTTTATGTCTAGGGGCGCAGATCATGTCAATATCAATCGTCTCACTTTTTCCCCATAGGAAAAAGACTCTTGGGCTTCAACATGCCAACCTGGCGGAAAGTATTATCTGACCCGCAATAGCTCAACCATCGTAGCTTTTGCAGTAGGCAAGAAATGGAAGGTATGTTTGCACGATACCAGGTGATACAGCATACATCCTCCTCGGTCAAAAAAGCTAAAGCGTCGGCCCATTGTAGCCAGGCAATGCCATCTCCATGATCGGTGCGCACACAGACTCCCCTGTTCTGAGAGTCAAGCCTGTTAGCAACAAGCGCGGCGAGGGTTACATGCAAGTTGGTGTTGAGGCGTATGGTGGAGGCCTCTGGCACACATGTCCGTTTACTGAATTCTATCCCTACACTGCTCACTCAAAACTAATGGTCGTCAGGGTTTGACCGTGACCTGGGTGTTGCGGGTCGCGCTATGGTTAAGACCAGCGATGGCTCCATTGTGCAGAAATTGATTAAGATCGACCGTCCAAGTAACGCTCCTCGGTGTTAAACTCTTGCGGAAGGAACCGACAGCTGACCTCAATTGCAGTCCTTCGCATTCCGACCTTGGCCATTCATCTTGACCGCCAGGAAACTTTCTCGTTCAACAAGGAGACCCAGCTGTTCCCTATTGCTGGCCTTGTGGCAGCCGAGCTCAACCGTACCGGAGAATCCAAAGACGCCGAAGCCAAGCAGGAGAGTAAGGCAGAATTCTCTCCTCTGAAGGCGATAACTGAGCGTCATCATCCCTACTTTGTCGAGCTCTTGGCTGCTGAGGCTGGTGTCAAGCCCGTCGACATCCTTGACTTCGAAATGATTCTGTTTGACACTCAAAAATCCTGCCTTGGTGGCATGCACGAGGAGTTCATTTTCTCACCTAGACTGGATAATCTCAACAGCTCTTTCTGCGCCACTGTCGGCTTGATCGAGTCTGTTGCGGATTCCTCGGCACTGGATGATGAGACGTCTATCCGACTCATTGCACTGTTCGATCATGAGGAAATTGGAAGCCGTACTGCTCAGGGCGCTGACTCAAACCTCCTTCCGGCCGTCATCCATCGCTTGTCGGTGCTCCCTTCGTCTTCGTCCGACCAAGACGATCTATCTACAGCCTATGAGCAGACTTTATCTACCTCCTTCCTTCTATCCGCCGATATGGCTCATGCAGTACACCCAAATTACGCTGCGAAGTACGAATCCGATCACCGTCCGGAGATCAACAAGGGCCCTGTCATCAAAATCAACGCCAACGCTCGCTACGCTACGAACTCGCCTGGCATTGTTCTTCTTCAGGAAGTTGCTCAAAAGGCGGCGGAAAATGGGGGCGAGGGAGTCCCTCTGCAGCTCTTCGTCGTTCGCAACGATTCCAGCTGTGGCAGCACTATTGGGCCAATGTTGTCTGCTGCTCTAGGTGCTCGAACCCTTGATCTGGGTAACCCACAATTAAGCATGCACAGTATCCGTGAGACTGGCGGCACCTACGATGTGGGACACTCGATCCGCCTATTTACCAGCTTTTTCAAACACTACTCGAGCGTTTCTAAACAGATTCTGGTCGATTGAGATTTCAACCTAGAATACCTGTCAGCGAAACCGCACATCTTATCATTCAGCATGCAGAGGCGCAGGATTAGCCTTTCTCATAGTCGAATGAACTAGGAATAATATATCATCGATGTTCTACCAGCCTCGCCAAACATCAATATCTCACTCTCACGCTATGAAGGCGCTTCTCACCAACGAGGCGAAAAAACCAAGGGCAACCGCACTAGGGTGCTCATTATAAGAAGTCGCGACTATGTCAGATAAATTTGAGAAATCATCAACAGCAAGCTCTTGATCTGGAGCAATAGATTCCCCCGCCTTTGTTTCTCGCATTTGTGTAGACACCAGCTGTTACCGACCATATTCTTACTTTAATGGGAAGGCGGTCATCCCGATATTGAGGTCTATCGCGTATCACGTGTAGACGCGTCTCTCAGACACGTTTCCTGGGTACCTGTGCTCAAGATAGCATCTTTAAGCCCATCTTAATTTCAATGAGAGCGCTTTATCGAAGTTTCTGAATTACTTAACTTCAGGTGGTTTCACATATTTGAGTAGCTATTCATGGCTGCCAATTTCTTTAACAACAAGGCCCGAGCTGCAGCTGCAGCTGCAGCATCCACCAGCTCGAAGCAGAAGCCAACGGATGCAAAGGAGGAGCAGACACGACTGCAGCCATGGGTTGAGAAGTAGTATGTGACGTTTATTCTATTGTCCATTCTACGCAATGGGCTGTTCTAACGGGAATCAACAGCCGGCCCAAGACCCTCGATGATGTAGCCGCGCAAGACCACACCACGAAAGTCCTTCAACGGACATTACAAGCTTCAAATGTACGACATAAAAGACTTCTTACAAAACCAAATTTACAGTTGAACATGACTGACAGAAATAGCTCCCTCACATGCTTTTCTATGGCCCCCCCGGTACAGGAAAGACCTCAACCATCCTCGCCCTTGCAAAATCGCTATTCGGCCCTGCTCTTTATCGGTCACGTATCCTCGAACTGAACGCCTCAGACGAGCGTGGCATTGGCATTGTCCGAGAAAAGGTCAAGGGATTTGCCCGCACGCAACTCAGCCAACCGACCGGATTGGACCCATCATATTTCGAACAATACCCCTGCCCACCGTTCAAGATCATCATCCTGGATGAGGCGGATAGCATGACTCAGGATGCACAGTCTGCGCTAAGACGCACGATGGAACAATACAGCCGGATCACCCGTTTCTGTCTCGTCTGCAACTACGTCACTCGCATCATTGAGCCACTTGCCAGTCGATGCAGCAAGTTCCGCTTCAAGCCGCTGGATAATTCGGCCGCAGCAGAGCGCTTGGCGCATATTGCCAAATTGGAGAATTTGAAGCTTGATGAGGGCGTCATTGATAAGCTGATCAGCTGCGGCGAAGGTGATTTACGGCGTGCCATTACATACATGCAGAGTGCGGCCCGGTTGGTAGGCGCTGGTCGCCCGACGGGTCAGAAAGATGGGGACGAGGACTCTGAGATGGCAGACGCCAGCTCGGAACCTATCACTGTGCGAATGATCGAAGAGATTGCTGGTGTCGTCCCTGAAAGTGTCATAGATCGACTCGTTCAGGCCATGCAGCCGAAGAAATTGGGGTCTTCCTACGAGGCTGTCTCTGCCGTCGTCACTGATATTGTTGCGGATGGGTGGAGCGCGGGTCAGCTTGTCTTGCAGGTAAGCTCTTTTGCCATTCCCTTGTACAAGGCTCCGTTCAATTGCACATATCGCGAGATTCCATCCTGCACGTGGTCAAAGATGCTAACCATCGGCAGCTGTACCGACGGATTGTCTACAACGATGCTATTCCGGACATACAGAAGAACAAGATTGTAACTGCATTCTCTGAGATGGACAAGCGTCTGGTCGACGGGGCAGACGAACATTTGTCGATACTAGATCTTGCTCTTCGGATATCAGGCATCCTAGGCGGCTCATGATTTTATTGATATAGACGTAATCAAGGATTTCAGCCACTAATTTCAGACATGAGGGCCATGACCCTTGTCCAATGTATAGAATGTATTGAAGTATTCACCTTGAGTAGAACCCTGACTGCTTATGTACCGCTTACGTACGAAATCTGCTCACGGTAAGGCATTTCCGGGTTGCTATAGGAGTACATATTAAAAATTAAAGACAAGACATCGGAATCACCTTGCAATCATCAATATTACTTTTACTGCTGCCCTAAGTGTTATTGAAGCATGGGCGTCTAGAATCCTCTGGCCATGCCCCACAACCACGTGTGTGCCCCGCTCGCGCTTCTGTCCGAAGAGTCAGCGTACAGATAAGCTGACCGAAACCGCAGCTTAACAGTCACTGAAGTACTTGGATTGGGTTTTGGTCTCACCAGCCAATTCCTGAAAGTTCTTCACTTTTATATTACTAGGGAGACTTCTTCTGGACCGAAACTTCAGGATCGAGTCCAGAAAGACCAAATGGCACCTCCGGAGAGTCCTAAGGAGCACCCCTCGATGACGCCCGCACCCCGCTATCTAACAGGAAAGAAGGAGGAGATCAAGGAGTTCTTGGATAAATTCGATGTGAGTCTAATCAGTGAACGCGCTCCAATGGCATTCACTTTATACTTCTTAATCCTGGCCAAGAAGCTGATTGTATCTATTAGGTATTTCTATTCGATTGCGATGGTTCGTGCTGCCCCCCTTCGCTCACTCGTATTCCGTCCTATGGGCATGACGATCCTGCGAACACTTTATCCGATTCCTTGCTGAACAGAATGTTTGATATAGGAGTCCTCTGGTCTGGCGACCACCTCTTCCCTGGGACTGTTGAGACGCTGGAAATGTTGAGGAGCAACGGTATGCGCACACCTGCTGGGGAGAAGCTTGCGAGCTAGAGACTCATATCCACCAGGCAAGCAGGTCGTTTTCGTCACGAACAACAGCACAAAGTCACGGGCCGACTACAAAAAGAAGCTGGAGAAGCTGGGGATTCCTAGCACAACGGTACGTCTTCAAGCGAAAGCTTGCCGAAGCTGGGCCAGGGTAGAAGGCGTGGTACAGGGGCCTCCGCTGACAGAAGAAAACAGGAAGAAATCTTTTCCTCCTCGTACAGCGCATCCATTTATATTTCCCGTATCCTCAAACTGCCAGAGAATAAGCGAAAGGTTTTCGTCATCGGAGAGACGGGGATTGAGCAGGAGCTGCAAACGGAGAACGTTCCATTCATTGGAGGCACAGATCCCGCGTATCGACGCGAAGTGAGACCTGACGACTACAAGCTTATTGCAGCCGGGGACCCATCGTTACTTGATCCCGAGGTCGGAGTCGTTCTCGTAGGCCTGGACTTCCATCTGAACTACCTGAAGCTGGCTCTCGCATTTCACTACATCAAACGTGGTGCGGTTTTCCTTGCGACCAATATCGACTCCACACTTCCGAACTCAGGAACGCTGTTTCCCGGCGCGGGTTCCATGAGTGCGCCGCTTATCATGATGCTGGGCCAGGAGCCTGTCTCGCTAGGCAAGCCCAACCAGGCAATGATGGACGCAATTGAGGGAAAATTCAAATTCGATAGATCTCGGACGTGTATGGTGGGGGACCGTGCCAACACCGACATCCGGTTTGGATTAGAAGGCAAGCTCGGAGGCACTTTGGGTGTCCTCACTGGAGTCAGCTCAAAGGAGGACTTCCTAGCTGGGCCTATTAGGCCTTCGGTGTACCTAGACAAACTTTCCGACCTTTTAGAAGCGAAGTGAAGTAACATCACCGAGCACGTCTCCCATTGCTGATTTTCAAGCATCGGCCCCGGTACAGGCACCTCGAGGCAAAATTCACCGTCGATAGAACTCATCGAGATATCCCATAGAGTTGTTATATAATTTGACATATAAAATGATCATCAAAGGAATTGCATCAACGCGCAAGCAACACTAGACTCCCTTGACGGCTCGACAGGCGTTCAGAGTTCTCAAGCAGGTCATGCTTCCTGGGGCCTGATGAATGCCTTCAGTTTCCACAGTGCCAGAAGAGCTTGAACGGCCGCCGGGTTGTCTGGGCTCAGGATCAGAGCAGTGTTCCCAAAGAGTGGACCATAGTTCCTGACTTCCGCTAGATCGGCTTGAGACAATAGCTCAGTTAGGTCAAAGACGGGTACTTTCGACTGGGACTGTGGTAGGGTCACCAAGTCCGGATACGGAGACTTTGCTGGTTCGTGGTCGTGAACCTGCTCTTGAGCGGTGGAAGAATCTCCATTCTCGAATTGTTCCAACCGACGGCCCATGACCAGCACCCCACCGCATTCCATGCGCTCGATCTTCTCCAAGCGTCTTAGGCCTTCCAAAAGAGCATCGCAAGAACTGTCTTCGACCTCAATGATATTTAAAGACTCAAGTCTTGACTTCGACCGCTTCTGCGCACCGTACATGTCTTTGAGTTTCTTTAGGACATGCTTCCGCATTCTCTCGAGAACGAACTCAGGCATGTCCTCCCGCCAAATCAGCCGTTTCTCCTCTCGATTTGTAAGGGGGCCCAGCGGGTGCTTCCATCTAAAGGGCACCAGTCTTGTAATCAAAGGCCTCCTCCCACTCTTGTTTCGCGCCAGCGGTATCGTCAAGTCCTTCAGCAGGGGAAGACGGTCGATAATTCGTAGAGTGAGGGAGCGTAGCGACTTGTTCTTTGGGGATAATTGTTCGACCTGATCATCTCGATCGGCTTGCGCGACTTTCGATGTTGATAATTCGTCTCGTAGCAGACCGACAGGCATGAACCAGAGCCCCTCGTCGTTTTGGCGTTGGACCAGACCCCAATCCGTCAAAAACTCCCGTGGCAAGCGAGTTCCGGTAACTGTACACATACGTAGAGGCGATGCCAGTGCTACTGCCCAGGGATTGAAGCGTAATCGGTCTGCATCGCTCTGAGTTGGCCGTTTCTTGCGCTTCTTCTCGCCTCCAGGAAGTGCTTTTGTGAGTAAGGGCGATTGAGGCAGTAGCTGCGAAGGACGGACAGATTGAGCTGTTTGAGACGATGCTTCCCCCTTTTCCCCCACATTGCCTCGATCTACCTCCTGAGCGTCGGCTTCATTCTGAGATTCGGGGCTTCGCGACTCGTCCCGGCCGATGAAGCTTGAGATTCCACGCCGAGGGATGCGATTGGACGATACAGGACTGGTAGATGTGAGAAAAAGCTGACGAAACGTAGCTATTCGCCATGACGCGTATGAAGCGCGTTGTCGACAGCTCTCCATGCTCTGCAGCTGTTTTGGCTGGACACGAATACACAAGCTGAAGAAATCCGCGAGTAAGCGGAGAAATCAGTGACTTGGGCTCTCCGCTCTCCGCTCTCCGATGCTCCTACTCCAAATCCTGACCAGTACGGCAGTACCCTGCTGTCGACCAAGGATCCACTGCTCGCTTCATTGACGAGACAACTGCTTCTTGATTACCATCTACTAGCTTATTGACTGGCCATGAACACAAGCAGACTTATGAAATGGCTGGGCCGCACCGCCCTACGGCCTGTATTGTCTCGAAGCTTCACCAGCTCCATCCCCGCATTGTCCAGCGCAATCCCTTCAAGAGGCATCCCTACGAGAGGTTGGACCCCGACACCATTCGTGACTGAGACAGTGGTGAGTTCCAATTTTTGAATGCTTGGGTACTGGCTAGATTGACTTACTGTTACTGTAGGGAGGCGGTTGGCACACATGTACGTTCCTGGCAGTGTATCAATCTGCGGAGCCAACACCAAGCTAACTACGGGCTTAAGATGATATCTTTTCCAGATTGTTAAAGGTATAGCAGATTCCCTATAAGTAAACTCCATGAAATGTCCTTACTTACAATCGTTCTCACCAGGAGCGCATTATCTGCCTCAATGGCGAAGTAGACGAAACCATGTCCGCGTCGATAGTGGCCCAGCTCCTCTTCCTCGAAGCCGATAACCCTCAGAAACCTATCCATCTATACATTAACTCCCCTGGTGGCTCAGTAACGGCTGGTAAATCCAACATACGTGATACCTGGGTCGTATAAACGGGCTAATCTAACACAGGTCTCGCCATCTACGATACAATGACCTACATCGCATCCCCCGTCAGCACAATCTGTGTCGGACAGGCAGCCTCCATGGGCTCGCTACTACTTTGCGGCGGCAATCCAGGGAAAAGGTACTGTCTCCCCCATTCGTCTATCATGATACACCAGCCCTCGGGCGGGTACTTCGGACAAGCAAGCGATATCGCCATCCACGCCAAGGAGATTCTTCGTGTTCGCAGCCAATTGAACAAGATCTACCAGCGGCACCTGACGGGCAAGAAGGTGCTGTCTCTTGAGGAGATCGAGAAGTTAATGGAGCGTGATTACTTTATGGGTGCGCAAGAGGCTTTGGAGATGGGTATCGTCGACGAGATTCTTGACCGCAGGGTAAAGCCGCAGAACGAAGGGGGAGAAGGCGAAGGAAAGCCGCCGGTGCCTTGAACGGAGCAGTTGATATCTACTTCTCAATGAAAGTGCATACGCAATGCTCAATCGCGACTCTTTTATCCAGGCCCTCCCAATGAGGTGTGACTCGGGCCCCGCGGTGCACATCGATTTCATCAAGCGTTTGTATTAACACTCATATATTTACAGAAAAAGGTATTGAGGATGAACTTGTGGACAAGGGGAGGGAAAGAGTCAGGATTCTATCCGCTGAACACGTCCGTCAGGCCCGACCTGCAGTCCAAATCTTGCTCGTAGAAAAGCTGCCGTCTGGTCCGACGGTATGTACGAAGATGTCCGTGCCGGCGGAGTAGTCGTACTATATTTCCACTGATCACGGATGACATCAAAGAACCCAAGGTCCATGATCACAGCCTGTCCTGAGGAGAAAGTGTCCAGAGGGTGGATATTCTTCGCACCAGGCGTATGACCATCCTCTGACGGGTCTGCCAATAATTGTGTATGTTCCGTCTGTTCATCTACACTGGCCTGTGCAAGGGTAACATGGGCGTCGGTCTCATCAAGCTCAGCTCCATCACCGGAAGACCGCGATACGGGTCGAGTCCTGTGGACGCCTCGTTCCTCCGAGTCATGGTCTTGTACCCTTGGCGTTTCTGCAGGAGTAGGTGTGGTTTGCCCGGTTGTTTTCACTCTTTCGACTATGAGACCCAACATAACGAGATCGAGAATCAGGACAAGAAAATCGAGCGACAGCAGCCGAAATAGCGAAATTGGGGCTTTTTGTCCGATAAAATCAATCAACAGCCCTCCATGAAGATACCCTCTAGTAGCCTCTCCAGCCTCAGGACGACTGAAGAAGTTGTGAAAGATCATACAAAAGATGTTACTGACGAAGATAGCTCCGATGAAGGGTTGATTCCGCGTCGGATCAAAAGGAGGGGCTTTGGGGGTGAAGAATATCAGCTGCACTATAGCACGGATTGCGAAGAGTATGACTGAGCAACTGGAGCAAAGCGACGAGAGTACTGTTAGTAAAGCGCAAGCCACATTCCGACGACATGCTCGTCAGAGCAATTCCAGAAAGCTGTCACGATGAAATTGAGGAAGCTCACTCCATGTAATAGAGCGCAGATAGCTCGCAGTAAATCAGGATATCAAGGTCGCGAAGTAAACGATCAATGAACGCGACCTTTGCGGCAGACTGCAGCTTTCTCATGCGCTCATTCTCGCGAGTCAACACACTAGCATCTTGCTCAGTGTGGTTGGCGACGCTTCCATAAGATATGCCGGACACGTCAGCGATGTACTCCGCATCGCGAAAGGCATCTGGGGTTGTCATAGAGGTTCATGAGGGCATGAAAGGCGAGTTTGAAAAAAAGAGGGAAGAGCAGACACCGGATCCGTGACAAAGGACTGCTAGATGCGGAATGTCAGTATGCATGCAAATGAGCTGACAGCCCGTTCGGCAACAGCTCTCCTCACGCTGTACATCAGATCGTCATGTGACGTCAAATCACCTGCAATACGGAGATTCAGAATTCGCCACGGGCTTGGCTCATCTATTCAAAATAATCAGGACTAGACATCTAATGGCAAGATGGCCGAGTTGGTCTAAGGCGTGAGGTTAAGGTACACCTTAATACCAAGCTCCTAGAGTTTCCTCATCATCGTATGATGGCGTGGGTTCGAATCCCACTCTTGTCAGATCTTTCTTTTTTGATTCTAATGTCTTTACTGTATCTATTATTTCCTTTTCTTATTTTTAATTTTCGGTTGCTCAGCTCTCCAATAATAATTTCATTTTATTCATATTTCGTAAGTGATGCAGCGAATTGATCGAGAACATGGTCTGTATTCTGTCTTGATAAATAGGTTCATCTACATCTATAACTCATCTCTCTGGTTTTGTTCGACTTCCGTAGCTTCGTACATGCGTTTCTTTGGATTTCGCGGTATCCCTTCCTGTCGTTGCCTCTCTTCCGGTGACACGTCGTCGATGTTGGTTTCTTCCTCCAATCTGCCGTTCTTTTCTACCATATCGCCAATCTGATCAATCATGCGATCCGTTTCAGGTTGCTCTTCAGAGGCCTGAGCTTGGTCCCGAGAAGCGCTTATGGAAGCGCTAGGCATGACGGCTGTTTGTCCCAATGTTGGTGCTTCCTCAGGCATGCTTTGACTGAGGGATGCTGACGAATGTGATTGAACGGCCGTGCTAGTGATTCCAACTGTTCCAAGAATAGCGAATGCGAACCTCGTTATCAATTTAATCGGCAGCCACACAAGCCACCAGAGTGGTCCATATAATATGCGACGGAATATGAGCCAAGATATTGTTCCAACCAGAATATAGAACGCTGTTTCCAGGTACCAAGTGTCAGACTTTTGGGATCTGAGGAGAGAGCCGATGAGGTTGCGGGAGGATGAGAGAAGAGAGTCGAGATCGGTGTATGACTCCGACAGTGAAGACAGGGCAGCTGTCGATTGTTCTGTGGTTATAGGCTTAGCAGATTGAAGACCGTCTCCCAATGCAAGAATAACGAACCTAGAGTTTGGTGGGCGAATTGACTTCGAGATAGTTCCGCCTGCATCAGCTGGTGCGTCCTGCGTAATGCTGCGGTAACATCGCTTGAGGCGTTCTTGACAATATCATCATGCGACAGCTTCTCGGTAGATTGACTTCGGCGCTCGGCGCTCTGTGACCTCGAAAACAATAGCTCCCTCTCCTTGCGTTTTGCAGCCTCCGCGTTTCGTTTCGCCTGGAGCTGAGCATTGCGAAATTCCACCCTCGTCCTAGGCAAGTATGTTAGCAGGGTAAATGTAACCTGGGGAGGTGCTTTACCTCTTGATCTCATCGGTCAACCTCCCCGTCAACGAAATGATCCGCTCTTTTTCCATCTCTTTGGCATTGTCCACACTTTTCCGTGCGCCTTCATTACCAGTTTCGAGAGCGTCAACTTCAACCTTCAGAATCTCCATCTGCTCCTCGGCCTCTTTCAATGAGCCATGTATTTCCTGTCCTAATTCCAGGCGGGCTTCGTCACCTTGACCAATAGCCATTGTGAAATTTCTTAGTCGATCGATGAGCGGGTGTATCTGAGCCAGAGCTAATGAGAGCTCTTTGAGGCGAGCTTGGAGAGCAGATGGTGAAGCCATCCTGGCAGTGTGCATTCAGTGTATATCAAGATTGTTCGGCCGTATGTGCAAAGGTCATGGGATATGTCCGAGATATTGTGTATGGAGTGTTCAGAAATGCACCATGGTAAACCCAAGCTGTCGTTCTTCAAGCTTCGCCTTGGAATACGTTTGCTTTCCACTGCGATTGCTTTGCGGTGACCACTCGTGTCCACAATCAACAGCGTCATTGGTTCCTGAGGCCACAAAATGTTTGCATCTTTAACAAACATAACTCTCCAGCCGTCGACTGCGAGGTAATTTTCTAGGTAGTATCAGGAACAGGCAACGGCCTCATCGCTATACAATCGATTTCTGGATCTCAGAACCACCACCCTCCATTTCAAGGGTCTGACTGCGCCCGTCGCTGTTCTCCCGAAAAATTAAACGGACTCACTCGATTGACCGGATCAAGCGCGGAAAGGTGACAACCGGCATCCGACTTGCGGTAACCATAAGATCTTGTATGTTTCTCCCTTCACCTTCAACAAATTACTCCCTGCGGCTTGAAACTAACTCCTTGAGCAGCGAAAAACCAATTGATCATTCCACCCTCCTATTCGGACGTACATCAAAAGGAGAAACCACCAAAATGACCATCCCCTTGCACACGATCACGTCCTTCCGGGCGACCTTCAATCCGTTCTCCCGGTCCGCTCGTCCCTGTCGCTTGCTCCTCTCTCTCCTCCGCAACCCTTCCACCACACCCGCCTCGAGTCCGACGCATATCGATATCCAAGTTACTCAGCTGCCGCGCCACTCGACACAGCTCCCCGAGATGACGGTAGGGTTCAGAGGAGGCAAGGAGGTCAAGATCGAGGTGGGCAAGAACCAAATGAAGATCGGTGATGTGATCGAAGAACTTGCGCGTGTGGGACGGAGTATCGAGCGAGAACAGACCCTCAAGGGTTGATTTTCGAGTCTGCACACTGTTTTTTCGTGGATTTCTAGGTATCATTGCGGGTTTTACGCTACGGCGCCGAGGACATCGGGTTCGAGTTTTCTCATTGTGCATTTGTACTATAGAAGGGAAGGGCGAGCAATGATTGCTGTGTGTGAGATTTGGATAAGACATTGACGAGCCATAACGTGAGGCGACGACCTTTGTATATATTAGCATTGAACAAAATATTTCTACTTTTCAACCCGCCATACCTGTTTATTTATGCTTCTTGACAGCAATATGTAAGCTTCCCGTGGAAGAGGATTTCATGCTACTTGCATTAGTTTATTTAGAACTGACGGATGCTACCAGATCAGTCCCAGCACTTTTCTACATGATATGAGCAAATGCAGGGATATACAAAAGGACTAAGTATTCGCCCTAAGGACGAACGGAAAGGATTTTAAATTTCTAGAACTTTTGTTCAATATAGATTTAAACAGCAGCGCCAGAGATGAAGAACCACTTGTCAATGCTGCCATCAATAGGGGCAGGAGGCAAGTTATCGCCCTTAGGGATGCTGGCAAGCTGGGAGGGGTCGGCGCGGTCAGGGGAGTTCTCAACAGAAGTGTTGGCACTGTCAAAGTCAGTTGAATCCTTGCCTCATAGGCGCAACTATGGACAACGAAGTACTTACAGGCTGATATCACCACGAGGGCTCTTGCCAGTGATGAGCTTCTCCCAAGCGTCAGCGCACTCGCGGATAACATCGAGAGCGTACCTAGAAAAGTAAAATTTTAGCCACAAGGAGACGATATCAGACGGAGTAAGAAGGGACCCACTTCTTGTTCTTGCACTCGCCAGAGAAGGCAAACTGGTTCTCGGGCTTTCCATCGGGGATCTTGTAGATACGGAACCATTCGTTGGTAGCACGGAGAAGGCCAGGAAGGTGACGCTCAACATCCTCAATGTCGTGAAGCTTAGGGGCAAGAGGGTCGTTGATATCAATGACGATGACCTTCCAGTCGGTCTCCTCCTCGTCGAGCAGAGCCATCACACCAAGAACCTTGACCTGCTTGACCTGACCGGGGTAGCCAACAAGCTCACCGATCTCGCAGACATCGAGCGGGTCGTTGTCACCCTTGGCCTTGGTCTCGGGGTGAACAACGTTGGGGTCTTCCCAAGTCTAACCCATAGAAAGGTCTCCGGTTAGCATTGATTGGCCTGGACATGCACCATGTCCACGAAGCTAGCTTACCTGGGGGAAGGCACCGTAGTTCCAGAGGTAACCCTTGTGGGGGAAGCAGTTACGGACGAAACGGAGCTTGCCCTTCTTGACATCCTGCTTAATAGGGTTCAGGAACTCCTCCTTGGAGATCTAAATATCCAAGCCGAATCAGCGAATGCTCCGTAACGAGAAATAGCAACCGCCTAGTGTTTCGCGGATCCAGATTGCGTACCTCCTGCTTGGCGTTGGTCCAGCGGGGAATCTCAACAACCATGTTGAGGATTGTCTGCTCGGGGTTGGCGTAGAGGGGAATGTCGTGGAAGGGGGAAACTGGGACGCCATCCTTCTCAATGTAGACACGGTGCTCCAGGGTGTTAGCCTGGCCGATCTTGCGAACGGTGTAAGACATGTTGGGCGATTGCGGCGGGGTATACGAAGAAAAATGTCTAGAAAGAAGAGCAGCACGAGTTGACGCGGAGCTGACCGACGAACGAACTCTTGACGATGATGACGAAGACAAATTTGCTTGTTGAGGGGAGGAGGAAGAAGAGGAGGAGGAGGACGAGAGGGAGGGAGGAGGGGCTTGTCGAGTGGGGGGAGCCAGCGTTGCTGATGTGCGTGGAATGGACGAACGAGAGCGGGCGAGGGCCGGTGAGGCGGTGGACAGTCGGAGCAATGGAGACAGGGGCAGTAGTGCTCTGTTGCTCATGCGCAGAGCCACCGGGGACATTGATTGTATATAAAGGAAAAGGAATTTGGGCAGAGTTCCTCAATTGACAGATCTAGATTGATTTTTAAGCTTGTGATCGTGACCTTGGATCGGCTTTACGCCGTTTATAGCAGCTGTTCCAGCGAAGGGGATCGAAGACAAAAATTGCTGGGAATTATCGGGATGGAAAATCGGCGTCGGGAATTCTGGTGACAGGTGTCCGAGGCCCATCTATAGGAACACTGCTCGTTGTGAAAGATACCTAGGTACAAAAACATTCTCTCTCTCTCTATATACTCATTGAATATGGACTTTCTCTTCCTGCTGTCAGTTGTTGTCAATTTGCTTTTGCAATCATAGTAGGAAACAGTTCTCAAATATGACCATCCACCATGGTTATTGGACGTCTCTCAAATGTACCCGGCAGCTACCAGAGGTAGTCGGCACGACAGAGATCCTCGGTGCATGGGAAGAATAATCAGCGGGCTCCGCATTTTATACTAGTGCCATCCCGCTGCTGTGATGCTACTATGTCTTTGTTTGAGGTAATGGTGATATCTAGCTCGGGGGTAGAATCATGGTACTCAGTCATACGTATGGTGCTCCCAGGTACTCGACGGGTGCGGGTATTAGAGTCCCATATTAATGAACAATGACCTGTTCACAAGGCCATTATTGATAAAAGAACAATAACATTAACGGTTCAGGTCAGTTTCTCCATACCTTGAGCCCTGATAACTCACCTTACAGGGATCACGGCGCCTGACCTGAATAACCTTATTTTCACCTTGCCTCTTACTCCGCCATATTAAGATGATGGTACCTTGGTTTACTCTCTGTACTCCATAGTATTGAGTAGTATGTACTGCTTGGGCAGGCGGGAAGCTACAACATAAGCACAGCAATTATATCTTGTCTGAAGCGGGGAGAGAGATCATTCATCAATATAAGAAAGATGGTGACAGAATACCAACATATCTTTCCCTTACGATCCCAGGATTTCTCGAATGGAAATCCGTCTGGCGACCGGAGTGCTCCGAAGTAAGGTACCGGCGATTGAAATCGAACGAAGACTTATCAGATTATCTTCACGTGACTTCCACTTTTTCATCTCCGCTTTTTCAATATCCGTCGCCATCCACTTTTGTAGTTCGTCGATTTATAATTCTGCAGGACAACTTTATTTATACACCTCTTCTCTGTCGTTCACTTGCACTTGTCGTGTCTCAAAAAGTCAATAATGCTATGCTAAGATTCCTCCGATCCGCAATGACTTCGCTCACGACACCCCGCGTTCCTATCCCCGCCAATGGTGTCGACTACCGTGGCAAAGTAGTCCTGGCACCGATGGTACGTTCGGGAGAGCTGCCTTCACGTCTTCTCGCTCTAAAATACGGTGCGGATCTTGTTTGGGGTCCTGAAACGATAGACCGATCGCTCATCGGAGCCACCCGCCGAGTGAACCCTCGCAACGGATGCATCGAGTATATCAGATTCCCCTCGAACGGTGGTCGTGCAGACAAACCTGCGCAAGAGTCCATTCTATACCGGATTGACCCAGTGCGTGAGAAGGGAAAATTGGTGTTTCAGATCGGTTCTGCATCCCCGGAGCTAGCCGTAGAAGCAGCCAAATTGGTCGCAGGCGACGTTGCGGGGATCGATTTGAACTCCGGATGTCCCAAACCTTTCAGTACGAGTGGTGGAATGGGAGCAGCACTCCTACGGACCCCCGACAAGCTCGTCTCTATCCTTGAATCGCTCGTACGGGAAGTCGGAAATCCTTATCAGATCGGCATCTCGGTCAAAATACGTATCCTGGAGACACGGGAGAAGACCGAAAGCCTCGTCAAGAGACTCGTTGCCACAGGTATCACAGGCTTGACTGTCCATTGCCGCACGACACCAATGCGACCTCGCGAACGCGCCATCCGTGACCAGTTGTCAATGATTGCGTCTATCTGTCGCGATGCTGGCGTTGCATGCGTCATGAACGGCGACGTCACCTCTCGGGACGAAGCGCTTGCGCTTATGAAGGAGTTCGGTGTGGACGGAGCAATGATTGCGACAGCGGCCGAGGCAAACCCGTCATGTTTCCGCTCCCAAGCAGAGGGTGGTTTGCTCCCCTGGAGGGAGGTGGTCCACGACTATCTTCAAGCCGCTATTGAGTGCGAGAACCGCTTCGGCAACACTAAATTCCTTCTGAACATCCTCATCCCCGGGAAAAACAGGGAATTCAAAGATGCAAAGACAGCAAAGTCCTACTCTGACTACTGCCACTTCCTCAAATTCGATGACCTACTTCCAGGGGCCGCCCAAGCGGACAAGATCCTCAATCTCACCGACAAGTCTGTGTGCAAGACGAACGAAACGGAAGATTCCGCTCGCGATACCGCCGTCAAAAACGCCCTCGAAAACAATGAGACGGCTCGTGCAGCAAGTGGTGCGCCCAGGCCCAAAGCAGCCTCACCAGCTGTGAGTGGCGGTGGCCCCATCCGCACTAACTCCATCCCGGCCCCCGTCAAGCCGAAGCCGGAGGATCACCCTATCGATATCACTGTCCCAGCTCCAGATGTTACACAGAAGCAGGAGCTTGCTGCATGAATATAGCACTCATCTTCCATCTCAAGTTGCGTCCGAGGACCCTCCATTCTCACTCATCCTTCTTCCTGTTTTCTATCGCACTGCATAGCTTGGCTCTAATTCTGCATGTTATGGTGTATGTATGGATGGCCTTTGCTGGATTTTCTTTGTCCGGAGTTTGTCTTTAGAAATGTGTTTATAGATTCCCATCTTTTGGTTTGTGAATATATTCATTCACCTTGGTTGAACGCAAAGTATATCCTACAGTAATGAACCAGCAGTCTCTACATATTCCCATGGGTGGAGAGTAGTCCGTATCGCGTCTGTTGTGTCGCAGTTTGTAGCGAAAACCTTCATCAAGTCCAACAAAGAGTGTAGTAATTATCAGCCGCACAGGGCATGGCAATGCAACGTCCAGGATCATCCATTTTGGATCTACCGGAAAGACAAGGATGTCTAGACGAGGCTTATCCTCAACAGAGGCAAGAGCTCACCAGCATGCTGCTAGAGTCA